TCTCTCTTTTTAGATGTTATGTAACCAGCCGGTTCCCATCTGTTACTATCTGCTATTGATTCAGAGATCAAAAGGAATATTAACATTTAGATGAAACTTGGATGCAATATTATCATTGAAGTTTGTAGTAAACCATCTATGGAACTAATTAATGGATAATTACATTATGATGATGAATGCAACTATTATCTGTGTATATGTAGGAAATAGAGGTTTTACTTCAAAGCCACAATGCTCTTCACCTAAGGAATGCCTGCTGTCAAGAGACTATCAATGTTTTGCCATAGATCTATAAAAGAACGCCAAGGCCCTGATCCTGTTATCTCAGATCTGCTTAAACTTGGTCAGTGGAAGCTTGAGTCACAAGACTGAGGTCTCCAGTGCCAGTCTGGATTACCCTGCTACTTCTCAGGGAAGAATTTATACAGACTCTGCATATGGATTTGCCTACTGGATTATAACCTAGGGAACTGATTGTGAAAGAACTTTTTGCAACTCAGCAGCTCACCATCTCTAATGTGAAACTGACCCAAGAACTTTATACATACATATATGAATAATGATCTTTTAACCACAATACTCTCCTCTCTCTCTCCCCTTTTAAAATAAATCTTAGTTTAGTTAAGGAGAATTGCCTGTAAGCATCTATTTAGGTAAGATCTGAAATATTCATTGACCTGGTGGGTAATGTATCCCATACCTTGGAACTGGAAGAACTTTATATATGTTCAACAAGATTTTCAGTAATCCTCATCATATTTAAGTGACTGTCTGGGTGGGAGCCCCAGGTTAGATTGCTTTAAGGGAGCTGTGTTTTTGGCTTCTGGGAAACTAGTGAAGTATAGTAGATGGTGTTTTGTTGCTGTCTTGGTGAACCAAATCATCAGAATAACCACCAGTTTTGGGGATAGTCTGCCCCATTCTTTGGGGTTTGCACTAATTAAGCAATCTCAGTGTGGCCCCTCCAGGCAACATGGGTCACAGTCGGTCTCTTATTTTAGTTAAATTGAATCTTTCCCTCCTCTTCCCCGACAGCACAGACAGATGAAGGGTGAGGGCTGCCCTATCATATGGAATGGCATGAAGAATTCACTGGGAACACCAGCCAGCACCACCATGTTACGAGCTGTAGTCTCTCTCTCTCCCCCACCCATAGCATTCCACATAGCACACTAAGGATATGATACCACGACATTGGCCAGAAAGTCCTGTCATATAGTACTCCCATGGTATCAGACACAAGCACACTAATTGGGTCTGATATAACATTAAGTGTTAATATGAAGAAGCTGCTGGGGACAGGTTTATAATGCAACAGAACTAAAAAGACACATTGGCAGCCTCCATGACCTCCAAACTAAATATAATTAAGCTACATGCTACTGTCAAAATGAAGAAGGATAATATTTTGAAATATTATGGTTGCAAAACAGATTTAGTTTAATGCAACACACAAATTACTGTTCCATATACCCGACTAACAAGATCTGTTATGAAAAACAGTATACCTTGAAGTCAGATGGCATAAGCCTAGTTGCAAAATATTATATCCTTCTTCATTTTGACAGTAGCATATAGCTTAATTATATTTTTCATAAGAAATGTCTCTGGTCCCACCCCAAGAATAAGATCAGATTGTCTGGCAGAGCAGGGAAGTTTCACATAGTTTACACTTTTTAAACAAACCACTAGTGAATTAAAGAGACAAGGTGGGTGAACTAATATATTTTAATGGACCAACTTCCCTTGGTGAAAGAAGATTTCGAGCCTAGAGAGCTCTTCTTCAGGTCAAAGCTTCTCTTTCACCAACAGAAGTTGGTCCATTAAAATATATTACCTCATCCACCTCATCTCTCTAATATGCTTGGACCAACGTGGCTACAACAATGATACAAACACCAATAAATTATCAGCATCAGTGATATATATTGAACTTGGTTAATTCTTCGCATTCTTACCAATATTTCAAGTGTCTATGGAGTTTTTCAAATCCTTGTGTACTAAATGATAGTTTTCAAATACAAAAACAAAGTAGTGGCCATCAGACCTCCTCTCTGAAAAAAAGATTACTCATTTCTTGGACAGTTAAAGTGAAGTGTAGTCAATGCCACAAGACTAAGTAGCTCATGGCATACCAGGACCCTCTGCCCACGTTGTGTTTCTTAGATCACTTTAGAGTAAAGTGTACAGCTAGGGTTGTTTACTGATTCATCTTTCAGTTGTGGTGTCTCATATATCCTCCAAATTGACACTGAAGCAGGATTACAGTGCTGAAGGTAACATGTTAAGATTTGCTAACTATCTCCTATAGGACTCATACACAAAGCTAAGGATTTGTAAAACAGAGATAAGTTTCTGCCCAATCATCCCAATTTAACAGCCACAAATAGTAAAGTCTATTCAGCATCAAGGAATCTTTATAAATACACACCAAACAACCTAGTCCAAAGAATGAACAAACTTCTGCAAGCCCAGGCATCAACCCAGCCTTCAAAGCCCTCCCTACATACATGCTCCTCCTCCGGTCCCTCCAGCAGCAGTTCATATGCCTTTCCCTTTTCCATGGGTGTTCAGTAGAGGGGAAAGGAAAGACAGTGTTTCTTTGTGTGTGCTGATGACTCAGTAGTGACCCTGCACCCTGTCACAAAGATAGCTTATATGCTTACAGCATGAAAAACCACCCATGATTAGACTGTTGGTCAAGGTCACTCAGCTTCATATGAACTACAGCTGCAATTCAGGAATCACATCAACTCTCTTGGTACTAAAATAGACTAAGTCTCCTCTACCAGTAGATCCTGGAATGACTGCAATGTGAAGATTATTTACTGGTGGTTTTAGTACCTACTGCCAATCAGCAGCCTTATGAATAATCACCTATTGCCAACCAAGAGACCTACATGCAGACACTTTCTAGTCAATAGTGACTCATCAGCCATCCATCTCTCAGTACCAACCACTAAGAAAAGCTCAGAAGCTTCACTAGCATGCAATTCTCAGGAAGAACAAGCAGAAAGGTTAAATTAAATCTAATCAGAATGGCTGCTGAGAGATTAAATGCAAGGAAAAGCTTCCTAGTAGTAAGAGCAATTATAGAATGGAACAACAGCCAAGAGGTCATTGAAGCACAATCTATGGAAACATTCAAAAAAGGATT